GTTCTGAAATATGTTTGTAGATGTACTATTTCAAAATAAAAAAAAATACATTCACCTCTTTCAATGTGCTTTGTTTTATAGTAGGAAAACAAATACAGTCTGTAACGAGTCTAAGAAACTATTATGTAAAAGAAGATTTGAAGTTATAGCCGGAAAAATATACACAATGTCCCTACTAAGACAAATAATTACAAGTGATGGTAAGGCAACATTTGTGTTATCACTTTTTGCTCAAATGAATAACACTGTTATTATCCAGGTCCTTATCCATCGCTGCTGCAGCGAACACTATCAGAGATATCTAACAAAATGTTAATCTTTATGTTGTAGCTTGTTTGAACACATTTCCTCAAAATAATTCATAAGCAGCCACGCACACACAGCCACACGCACACACAGCCACACGCACACACAGCCACACACAGTCACAAGCACACACAGTCACACACAGTCACAAGCACACACAGTCACAAGCACACACAGTCACACACAGTCACAAGCACACACAGTCACACACAGTCACAAGCACACACAGTCACAAGCACACACAGTCACAAGCACACACAGTCACACACAGTCACAAGCACACACAGTCACACACAGTCACAAGCACACACAGTCACAAGCACACACAGCCACAAGCACACACAGTCACAAGCACACACAGTCACAAGCACACACAGTCACAAGCACACACAGTCACAAGCACACACAGCCACAAGCACACACAGCCACAGTCACACACAGTCACAAGCACACACAGTCACAAGCACACACAGTCACAAGCACACACAGCCACACGCACACACAGTCACACGCACACACAGTCACACGCACACACAGCCACACGCACACAGCCACGCTTCAGGGGCCCAGGTTGAAGGAACTGGAGTCTTCCTCTGGCAGAGATTTTCCTTTGAAACATAATAGAAGAGACATCAGTTTTATCTACTCAAATATGACTTTGATATATTCATCATCAACAACATCAGTATTTATTGATCACCAGGAGTGGCCCCTGATCCACAGGATCCTTGAACATGTTTATTTGGACTGTCAGAGACTGTGCATTGTGAGAGAAAGACACTTACATCGGCTGTTTTGGGAGTCGAGTGATTATCTCACTCCTCTTGATTGTTGAAGAAACTCAGCGACAGTTTTGTCAACACTGACTCCTGGAACATGATCGATATTCATTTTGGACCTCAGGGCAGCAACACAACTGTAGGGATGAATGACACACACATCACAACATCATTATCATAATCACTGCGTCCCATATATGCATTCACAACAACCTACATGACAAATGTGGGGTGTAAAGTCTTCCTCAGGAGATGACAATGGCCATTCTTCTAATTCTGGAAGCAAAGTCTTGTCTTCCCAGTCAATACTAGAGAAAGAAGAGGTCAGCAGAAAAGTATCTAGTTGTTATGGCATTGTTTTTTTTGTTTAATAGTTATTTAACTTGCATTATGGAGGCTGTTGAACTCTTGTACATTGAAGACCTCATTCCAATTGATTTAGGCCATACTGGAAAAGATACAGAGAAAAGAATGCAATGAAGACATGTAAATTATTACAATGTCTATATTATATCATGCTCATAATTTATTTGGTAGTAGTCAGCAAGACTTTTCTTACTCATTCTCAATACATAATAATAAAAATGTATGTAGTGGTCACGGAAGTTAGATTTGAGGTAAAGAGATATTGTTTTTATAACAATAAAACTAATATACAGAGTGCAAGTTGCAAAACTTAGTCATTGAAGAATGAAATGCAGACCTACATATATATATATATAGTGCAAGCAACTATGTTTATTGGCAAAAACAAACGATTCATACAGATCAGAAGTGTTCGTAGCAGCCACATCATATTCACAACTACAGACAGCTAATGCTAATGGCTAACGCTAATGCTAACAGCGAACGCTAATGCTAACAGCTAACGCTAATGCTAACAGCTAACGCTAATGCTAACAGCGAACGCTAATGCTAACAGCTAACGCTAATGCTAACAGCTAACGCTAATGCTAACAGCTAACGCTAATGCTAACAGCTAACGCTAATGCTAACAGCGAACGCTAATGCTAACAGCGAACGCTAATGCTAACACCACTTCACGGGGGAACTCTGGTGATATGGTCATTTAATTTTGTACATGTGGGGAACTAATAATTGACCGGAGTTTATGGATGGCTGAGGCTGGGCTAAGGCTTCGATGTTGTGTTGTCTGTTGTTTCTCAAAGCTAAGCCAAGGTAATGCGCAGTTATTGCCACAAAATGCGGCCGTATTTCTACAACAGCTGGGGATTTTTAACTAGCTTACTTGGTGAAAACCCGCATTACAGTCTCAGGCAACAATATGTATAAATAATACAACTACTACTGCCACTACTGAGTAACATGCTCACCTGTTCAGTCGGAGAGAGGAATCCACGGAGCTAGAGGTCGCCAACATGAATGCAGCTGGTCACCATGTTGCTCCTACTTTTTGTCGTTCCTCTGTTTCTGGCGTTTTGCCTGTATTTAATAAATCCATCCATGGTATTTAGTCTGCAGCAGCGCTGGAGGCGGCTTTTCCTTCTCCGCCATGTTTGTTTTGAAGAGTGCGCGTGCACACACGGGAGAAACCCCTTATAAGGCGTGCTCTCTCGTCATTGGATAAGCGCATAGGATGTGAGGTTTTTTTATTATATAGGTGGGAGAAGACTGGAAGGACTGAGAGATCCGTGTTTAGGTACAAACACTCTATATAAGTGATGGCTATTGGAATATATCAATATTTAAGACGTATATTAACACCCAAAAATCGCTTACTGCTGCTTTAAGTCTTAAAAGGCCCGCAAAAAATAAAATGTTTTTTGATTTTTAATTGTAAGGGAATGAGTTTTGTTGTAAGATTTATTTACGTCTCATCAATTGCAAGTACAGAATAAACAGCATAACATCTACTACATAATTTATAAACCCAGTTACTTCCTGATATTGATACATGCAGGCCAGATGGATGTTTCAATGATTTAGCACTGCTTTTTGGAAAGGGTCAGAGGATTGCAAAACAGGGAGCAGTTGTCCAAGGTCACAGCAGTTCATTTTTCACACATTTGAGTAAAATATTTTGTACGCAGAAGCCAAAAACGGCAGCTAAAAGTTAAATTTTGTTGCTTTGCCTTGTGGCCTTTCTAATCTCCCTAGAGCATTTCTTTGCATGTGCTATGTTACTGAGAGAATTTCGTTTTTAGCAAATGTTGCACTCAGTTGTATATGTAGTCACTGCTTCAAGCAAGACAACAAAACAGCATTTAAAGTAATTGTAATGAAAAAATCATATGGAGACATAATTTTCTATTTACCTCAATTGAAGGAAAGCATGAATTCCACAATAAACGTTTGTATAAGGCAATAGTATAAGGCACTAAATCGGGGGTCGGCAACTCGTGGCTCTGGAGCCGCATGAGGCTCTTCATTGCTCCTCGAGTGGCTGCTGGAGTCTCTTCAAAAATGTCTGAAAATGGAGTGGGGGGAGGGTATATTTTATTCTAGTTTTAATGTGGTTTCTCTGGGAGGAAAAACATCCGTAACGATTCCCAATGCTGTAAAAATGTGCATAAGAAATCAATTTCAACATTTCTGTCAACCCAGATTTGCGTCATATCCGGAAACAAGTGATTATGAAAAAATTTGAAAAACCCATTTGCGCATATGTCAGCCGGCACGAGCCCCATCATTTGACGAGTGCCCTCAAAATTTCACTGAGGCTAAACTAGACTGGTCCAAAAAATAAATACACTCAATATGCTCAGCATTGACACACATGTGGAACATAGCGTTGGACCAGCCTGTGCGCATGTGCTAATTGTTTACGGAGCTCACGTCTCACAATATGGATCGCACATTTGAACGTGGATGGCGTGACCATAGACTGATAGAACCGGGAAGCGCGGAGAGGACGAGACTTTCTGTGCTAACGAGAGACCTGTGGCTTTTCTCAAGAAAGTGGGGGCCAGTGGTCCGCTGTGATTGGTCACAATCTGGTCCCGAAACAAATTCTCTTCCTTGTAGCATGAAAACTCGATCTAAAATAAAATGACACGCCTGCACAAATCCTGCATCCTAATCTACTTTTAGGATGTATATCTAAATGCATTGCATGCCTAGGGATTGAATTTTTGTAAATAATACAAAAATAAAGTGAGGTAATGCAGCTTTAATATAAGCCAATTACAAGTCTGTTGATTTTTTTGCGGCTCTAGACAAATTTGTTTTTTGTTTTTTTTTGTCAAATATGGCTCTTTGAACCATTTGAGTTGCCGGCCCCTACACTAAATGTATGTAAATGGGTCGGCTCCCATGTTTGTAAATTCCAGCATTGTATTTCTTTGGGAACAGTGGGCGCCAGACCGAGTTACAAGTCTAGAGAGTCCACTTGGAGCAAGCATACCCTGCCAACACCACAGATGACATCCAATTGACACACTAAATTTCAACTCGATCAATCCAGTGCTCAAAAACATGCCTACAGTCAAGCTGCCACCCACACACACACGCACACACCCACACACACACCCACACCCACACACACACAGAAGTGATTGCATTGCCCCTTGGTGAGAGAGAAAGGCTACTGCTCTCAATGAGGACACGTATATTTTAACCCTAACCCTTGGATTGATAAACAGGAATACATTAATCAAACATGTTACACCGTTCATTATGCAACTTTTTATGTGAAGAATAAAAGTTTTTGTTTTTGCCTTTTTGTAGTTTGTTGTGACCCATTGGCTGTATTTTCTCCGGTGAGAGGGTTCGTCAGCAGAGAAAACATTACAACCAATTGATCCCACATACCATTGTGATGGAAAGTTAAGGCGCAATGCAGACCACTGTAGGTCAAACGATATTTACTTTTATTTTTACAGAACAAGTTGCATAATGCACCTTTTGTTTGACACAATCTACATTAAGGGTATCATAAACAAAAAATGAAATTACCCCTCCAACTTTTTCAAAATAGGCTCCATGACTCCCGAAGTGGATGAGCTGCTCGTTGAAAAACCAGGTGAATTTCAGCTCCAGCGTTGGATCATGAGAAACCTGACAGGGCAGGACTATACTCTCTCCCACTGTCACATCCAGATGACCCGCCGGGCTGGTAATGCTGGTCGATTCTGCAAAGAAACACACAGAATCTAAATTAAAATGGAAGCTGGAGTGCCTGATGTGTGAATAATGCTTTTTCATTGCTTGGAACAGTGTGAAAATATATTGACACGAACAAAATAGGCTGGGCTGAGTCTGTTTTGCGGGATATTCAACCAACATTAATAATACGTCTCAAGACAAATTACGTCCACGTCTGTCAGTGAGCTTATATTGCCTTCTCCCTTTGAGTTGCAGAGATTTGTATTATCTATCACTAAAGTAGGGCTGGAAGGAAATAACAAAAACAAACAAAAGGGAAAGCACAGCCATTTCATCAGGTTAGGGCGAGACTATAATTTTCCACAGACAAAGAAAAAAATGTCCTCTTTCGCTGCACGGCATGACGCACATCAGCATAATGTCTGGTCTGTCTCGCCTGATCGTCGCTCTAACATGGAATATAGCAGAGAATGAATGGAAGTATAAAGGCCATCGGCCAGAGCCACACTGCTTTACAGTAACAAAAGGAACAAAGAGCTTGGGTGGAAAAAAATACATAATATTGTTTTGCCTGTATTTCTTATTGACAAATTGAGAAAACACACAATAGACACAAGTAGACAGAAGTTAAAGCTGGTTTTCACAGTTATAGAGATACATAATTTCATACAATGGTTGAATAAACCTGGTTTATAATGAGGTCAGTTAAAAAAACATATATAATAGCATCCTTGTAAGAAAGAGACCTTTGAGTCACTACCTACATTGGATAACCAGTCTGGCATCACCTTGTGCCTCCACTCAGTTTCACTTCAGTAACTAGGTCAGTCATCACAGAAACGTTGCTGTGATAACCAGGAAGTACAATAGTCCATCCAAGGGAAAGATGTTGTGGTCCTGCCAAAAGGTACCCTAATTCTATATGGAGCAAACAAATCATAGAGTTGTGGTTTCTCTTTGGGGTATCAGCTGATAGGGTGTGGCTAGTTTTCTCATTTTCAATTTTCCTTCTGAAATAATTGACATTAAAGGAGACAAAGCCAATGAAGATGTGGTTGTGATTGTTTGTATTGTCACCGAGTTGTCGTCTGATTGTTATTGAGCTACAGTCAGAGCAGCCAATTTGGGTCAAAAATTGTCCGATCGCTTGACCCGAGTTTCATAACCATCATAATGACCATCATCCAACGTTGTGAGAGGCCTTGCTTATGCAGTACATGGTTGTTTGTAAAGGTTGTGGTCTATCTTTAAATTGTATTTTAATTTATTTTTCTCTCACTCATCATTTTGAGAAAAAAATTGGGACTTCAAATTTGTATTATGTGTGTAGGGTATAAAACAGCATTGTTAAAAATAGCACAATTTTTATTTTTGGTCCTAGGGGAAGGAACTGGTCAGAGCAGCGCCTATTGGTGGCATCAAATGCAGAAGGGGCAAAAAATGTGGCTCTAAATGCAAGGCTGTCATGCTGCCTTTCCGTTATGCTAGCAAGAAAAATCACAAATTGGCTCCCTTGTTTCCCACTGCGGGCTCTGAACAGTGGATGTCTGATTGTGGGAGTCGTTGGGGCAGCAGTGCAGTGTAAAACAAACAGGAGGATGGTTTACTGTATACATCCAGTCTGTTGTGAATAGCCGTGAAGAGCCATGCTGCTGCGAATACAAATGATCACAGCCGATGGTACTGTACATAAACATGGACGCCTCAGTTTAGGAAGATTCCTCTTGTCTTCTTAGTAGAATTAAAAGTACTGGGTCCTTTTATCAGCTGCTGTACCAACTCTCCAGTACATGGGATCCACTTCTCCATCGACCACCACTGGCCGGCAGGGGACGCAGTCAGCCCGGTAAACCACATAGGTTGGCTGGGTTGACTGTGCCTAGGGAACAGACGTCACGAGACGCTTCTGAGGAAGACGGAAGTAATCCGTCGAAACATGTCAAGGTAATAACACCACAAAACCTTATATTGCCTGGTATAGAAGATCCCAGTACTTTTAATGGACACCTCAGGTCAGCGTTCTGAAAAGAAATGTAACATCCTGTCACAATCGCGATTAGTCCGTGTGAACTTATATAATAAAGGCTTTTTTCTCTAGATTTTGTAGTCCGAGTATGTACTGTATGAATGTTTTGTTCTTGCTCGCTGATACATTTGCATTTGTAATGGGCGGGGTGGCTGAGTGGATAGCACTCTCGCTTCTCAGCAATAAGGTCCTGGGTTTGAATCCCAGTCGGCACAGGGCCTTTCTGAGTTGAGTTTGCATGTTCTCCCCGTGTCTGAGTAGGTTTTCTCCAGGTACTCTGGAATCCTCTACCACCAAAAACATGTACAATAGGTCTGGCATGTGTCTCCTGTACTGGCGACCCCGCTCCCATCTCTGTGTGGAGTGAGAGGCTAATGCCCAAAAATAACAATTGTAAACCGCTTTGTGACTCTGGTCTGTGAAAGGCGGTATATAAATACTTAATAAAGCGAACAGGAAGACAGGCACATGTGTTTTATCCACAATGATTTACATTGTGGATAAAACAGAAAAGTTATATGTGAGAAGTTAGTGTAGTCCCAGAGGCATCCAGGAGGCAGGTGTATACAACATGTACATAGAATTATTTTTCAAATGTGAAGAAATATCATGAGGGGCTAGATTTATGTTAGATTTTGGTTTAGACCTTCCTATGATAGGGAGGAGTCACTATATTTGAACCTAAGGCAGCAAGTTTTTCTTCTTTTTGTTTTGACAGAATTGTTCAAACATGTATAGTTATGTCACATTAGCACAGCACGTTACATCACATAGATTTCAATATTTTTTCTGGAGTTACCTTTCAGACTTCCTCTGGGTCTGCTCGTTCATTACAATTAAGGAAAAAAATCATTGTTTAAATGACTCATTGCTTTTAGTGCATGAGTGCCGATGTTCAAACGTGGTAACATAAAGACATCCAGAGCTCCTGTCAGAGGCGAACAGTGAACGATATTAAGCGAATAATGTGGATTATCTACCTCTAAAACTGATTTGTTAACAGGATTAGGAAAAGTGCTCAACTTCATCCTAATCTCAGTCAAATTGTCAATCTATGTTGCGGCACTCTATTTTGTTGTTCTTGACCGAATCAAAAAACTTGAATTTGAAGATTAGAGATGTGATGAGGATGGTAGAGGAGCAAACAGAGGGGGTGCCAAAAGAACCAATACACAAACAACTTGTCCATTCACTGGTGTTTACATGTAGATCGTATTGCCACACACCTTTTTTGCTTCTTTTTACACATCTAGCTCATGCATTGCTGTCTGGGTGTGTGGAAGTAAATGTAATACTCCACAATATCTTGGATTGGTGTACTATGCAGTGCTTAAAATCGACTTAAAGTAACAATATGGGTTAAGACCATCAACTCATGAAGTAGAACCAATGTCTGTGAAGTGGCACCTTTCACTGCTCAGTCTTCATATTTTACATAATGAAGTCATTGCATTGAGGCAGTGTTGAGGATTTGAATACATTATCCTATATGTTTTCTTCCTCCGAGCTGGCCTTGCAAACATGTCGTCTAAACTGCACGCATACACAGTGTAAAAGCTTTATTTGCCCCGGTGAAGGTGAGGCAAAACAAAAACACGTTTCTGAGCAAGCCCATTTGCAATTCAAAAATACCACAAAGAAGAATCACCAAAAGACATTTTAATAGAACACTGTTGTTGACGCCGCTGTTTAGAAGGGGCAAGAAAATTCATTGTGCAGCATTTGTGTGTAGTAGAAATGGATTGAAATCTTAAGCAATCTGAGCATGGCCATTAGGCAACACTGGAAAAAATAGAAGTAATGAATTAAACATGGAGGTGCCAAAATGCAAAGAGCCTGGAGCCCCGGCTCCTGCAGCCACTGCCAATCAACTAATTGGTCTGTGTGTGTCAAGCAAAGGCTATAGGGAATCGTATTACCTTATTGTGCACCTTATAGTACGCACTCAGGGTCAGCACATTGTTTAAATTCACCCGTGGTCGGCAGGGGCAGGCTGGCTCCATATCATTACTTTGACAGCTATAAAGAAGGTGTTACTTAATTACAAGGGCCTGCATGGTGACAAACAACTCAAGGACATTGATACAATTACTGAACCATGTGACTGGGACCAAAACTCGAAATTGGCTTCAACTCAAACCTGCTGCTGTTTTCACTTTGCAAAAAGCTTTAACCACTATGTCAAGACAAGTACAGGTTTTCAGAATAAACATAAATATATAAAGAGTCATGCAGAGGTAGGCTATATACATCTTTTTTTGAACAGTGCAACTTGTTGCATTGTAATTCCAAGCCTTTTTAAGCTATGTATGTAAGCTATAAGTACGTAAGATGAAGGGGTAGAGCCTGCTACAAGATTTCAATGACAAATGGCAATTTGTTCAAACTTGCGCACTCCATGTCTCAGAAGTAAAAAACTTTAAACATCAATGATCACGATTTTTTTACTGAATTCCATTTGTCTGGCACTTAGTTGCCTTATGTAGGAAATGTGCTATGCAAATAAACTTGTCTTTGTATTTTATCTTCATCTGTGAACCTAAAATGATGGTCTATAAATAAAAATCCCACAGTGGGAATTTCAGATTATCTAGTAGTATTTACTTCAACACAGTATTGAAGTGGCTTTTGTTGGTATCAGTAATTACTTTATATTACTTATTTTTTGTTTGGCCAATAACAATGATAACAAGACTAATTAATATGTAATTTAATGTTTTAGAATGTGCAATTATATCTTAAATAGAAAACATGTAAACAGATATCAAGGGTAGACCATATCCCTTTGATATCACAAGAGGTGTATAATTTGTTTTGTTGTTTTTTTCAAAATTTCCAAATCACAGGCTGTTTCCAAACAGCAATAGGATTGAAGAGACCATAATTTCACTTGAGAAAATACCCAAAATTATTTAGGGGCAACACTTTAGACAGAAATCTGCTCTGAGCGTGGTACAAGGACATCAAACTATTATAACAGGAGACAGGAGCTTTTAGATAGAGTGGGCGTGGTTATGTGATTGTGGCAAAAGTTCCTGATATTAACATGGGTGGATCTATAATCCATGGTTTTTGACTGTTGGAACATGGTTAAAAACTTCACCTTGTCCCATTGCATGATTACACGGGACCTTGATTTTCCAAGACCACTTGAATGCAGCTTTAGAACATGGATAAACAGCTTTCCCATAATACACTATTCACCTTTCACCAACAGACTTCCAGCACTGCTCGCCACTCCAAACTGGTTCCTGGCCACGCACGTGTACAGCCCGGCGTCCATCTTGGTGACGTTGGCGATTCTCAGGCTTCCAGTTTCCAACACAGTGACTCTAAAACAAGACAAGAAAGATATGTACAAGAAAATTAAGGCATCTGCCAAGGCACTGGGGCTGAAAATGAAGCAGGATTGAGCTGGAGTGCCTGTCAGTTCATATGCTCAAAGTGCATGGGAATGTATTCTTAATGAGCTGGTCTAATGTCCTAAAGCAATTCAAGTATAGCCCCAAGTTTATCTGGGTAACTTTTAATTGGTTCACAATGGTTTGGAGTGACAAGAACAGGGCCAGGCTACAGTTCAGTTTATGACTTTAACATCATATATAACAAAAAAAGCTCTATTAAAATGATAATAAGTCACGATTCACATTGAGTGAATTGTTTAAAGAGAATTGTATATCTGGAGCATTATACTGATGTAAATCCAAGTCGCCCACACCAATCCATGGATTTAATTAAACAAAGTAACTTGTCAATGTCGATGTAGTTCTTCAGTCTGTGTATTTAATAAGCGAAAATGCAATTTAATAGATTACACTTGGGAGTCTCTTCCATGCTGTTGTAGGATAGTGGTATCAGTCAAACATGGCACTTTTCATTCGGGCAAGAGAGTAAACCACCGCATAGGGGCGTTACTCAATCAAAAGAAAAGATAATGTTCAATTAGTTAAAATACATGGCCGTTTGCTTTGGAGGCGTTAGTAAATTGCAAATGTAAAAAAGGTAAATAAAGAAATCTTCGGCCCCCCTGAACAGTAAAATATATTACATACATTACAGCATACAATGGTGTTTTATATGTAACTAAATTTAGAAATACTTTTGCAAAATCCTTTCAAATGTGAACTTCACTTGTGGAATAAACAGGGAATAGAATAATTAAACAATAATAAAAAGCTATCTCCACATTTGAATTAAACTTTTCTAAATAGGTGAACTCTGACCGATCACACAACCAAACGTTGCCAGTTCCCATTTGTACGCACACATTCACTTGTGAGGTTTGCTCAAGTCTCTCGGAGCAGAAACATAAATCATTTCATCCTCAGAGGGATTTTGTTTTCACCGAAAACTCCGGAAATGTCAGTGACAAGATTTGTCATTGGGAGATGAGACTCAGAAGTCCTGGCTGTAAACAGGACACTGAATATACAATAAGAACAGGGACAGACACAAAGCACTTTACTCCAGATGCACTCTGCTGTTTCACTCTGCCCTATTTGTGCTTTTTGCATTTGAGCAAAGTCAAGGAGAAGATAAAAGAGGAAAACACATCTATGGTTAACTTGTTTGGACAGCTCCACAAACTTAACACCACAACAGTAAATTGAGTGACAGGCTTACACTGTGCTGAAGTAAATGGTGCTTTTATCATGAAAACATACTGCCACATGGTCAAATTATTCAAATTGCATTGTGCAGAATTAATTTGACTTTATCTTCCCTTGTTCTAAATCTGGACTAAGTGTTTTTGGGCGTGATCAGGTTTACAGACTTTGCAGACCACGCAGCATTCTCAATGCCTACTGAATCTCCATTTTGTTCATGTTTTCTACAAAAAAACAACATACTCCCTCTTAATACAGATACACAAACACAGATGCGGATTGTGGCCAAGGATGGTTTGTCACTTGCCTCTCAGAGATTTCTCAGAGAAGTTTTGGGAAACATACAAAGCCCTTGTTCTGATCTATGTTCCATATTATGTGAATTATTTACGCTCACTGACTGCTCATGTTTGATGTTTTGTCTCTCCTCCCATCGATCTGCTGTTGCTTCAGAAACATATCTCATTGTTCCATTCACTTTGATCTGTGTAATTACTGGAGGTGATCTGACTCTGTCTCTCTTGAAAGACAGGCTTTCTGCTTAGCTCCCGCAAACTATTTGACATCAATGACAAAGGGGAAGCCATGTGTTGTGTTTTATTGAGCAGGGATTCTGGTTAAGACCAAGATATTCTTTCTAGTTTGAATCATAATATCCAAACAGATTCCAGGTCTTTCTTTTTTATGTGTGAGCTGTATTGACACACATCTCACACCAGGAATCAAACAGTCCTATTCACACCTGGAAACTCAAGTTATTTCTGCTTATATCTTCTAAGATATTTTCTCCGATAACATACTCGTTATCACAGATTCTTAGTTAAGCTGAGTTGTTATTCTTATTCTCATATCAATATGAAGTGAAGATGCCCCCTCACTCTGTAGAAAGTTTAGTCCTCACCTGGCACCCCAATTTACACCGACCAACTTTGTTTGGTGAAACAGAGGTGTAACTGGAGATGCGCGTCAATCTCATTCTATTCTTTTTCCAGTGCTCCCCAAGGTGATAAGCAAGATACATAAAGTTGGCACATAAAATGTCCTAATCAAAGCAAGTTTTGCAATCACTTGTTGGTAATACGCTACTTCTGTACAGTACACAGCAAGGCCCTCTGGTGACAATAGCTGTTTGCATCTTTAACATTCTATACTTTTAACCTAAAGGCAGAATGGTCTAGTTTTGACTTCATTGTTAGCATAAGCAAGGCTCATATACTTGTATATTATATCTTACTTTTTGGGATATTTGGTAGGTCAAAAGAAGCCAAATGCGATAGCTAGTTATATTTCACTTTGTGTCTGAAATTTCAACATTATGATTAGTTCTCTTCACAGCGGGAAAGTAGCTCTTTATTAAAACCAATGTATTCCATTTGGATGTGCTCTGAATTGGTCTAATTTCACAACAAACTAAAAAAAATATGAACACACCAACTTGGCATGGTGTTAAAAGATAAAGTTGTGCCAAATTTATCAAATGGTAGATTTATAATGAACCAACCATCACAACTATGCACTTTTCCACTGACAAGTAAGAAGAGTAAAACAAGATAATCCAGGAGGAACTTGACTGGTCCACTCTGGACCCCTCTGGACCAGAATTGCTAACCTCTCAGCCACTGAGCTGTGAAGTACAGCATTGATAGCAATTAAAAGCACAAATCCCTGTTACAATACTGTTGCAACCATTTAATAGGTAGAACTAGATTGAGGTGGATCAATCATGCCTTTTATTTCCACTGGGGCCTCAGTCACAAGTGTAAGCAGACTCGGAAGGAAGGATGTAGACTGCAAACACGCAACATCCTTGGACACTTGAAGTAATAGTCCCATTTATCTAAAACATAATGTTTGCCTTATTGCACCATTTACAATTTTGACCTGTTAATGAACAATCAATAAAAGCACCACTACAACAGAGCACAGTGGTCTCATGGGAGAAGCCAGTCTTTATTTCACTGGTGTATTTATCAGCATTTGTCACCAGTCTCCTGTAAAGCGCCTGTGTCTGAGGAGCTGTCCGGGAGCAGCACTGACTGTCGCGGCTCTGATCTCCAGAGGAGTCAGGCGCCGAGCTCAAATCCCACTGGGAATCCAGCAAACATCAGAGTGTTAACAGGGAACCCTGCGGAGCCCGGCCATGTCTGCAGCTTGTACAGCTAATCATTCATTTGGCCCGGTTATCCGCACCATTACAAACAAGCATTGGCCATTAAGCCCACTGCGCACATACATTTTTCATGAACAGTTGTTAGACCATGGACTGAAGCAGGATTTATGATCAGACAAAGGTGCTTCATTTATTGGTCAAATTAAAATCAAAGCAATTACTGCACATTGAAAACTGCAATGAAAGTAATAATGATTGAGGAGTATTTCCAATTTCCATTATTTTAGGGGTTTTTTCTCGTCTTCTTCATTTAAGTAGTAATTAGTTTAATTCAATACTGTACCCGTAGATATAAACGCTTTCTTGACAATATAAATATTAGCGGAAAGCAGGTTAAGCGCACAAAAGCAATAAATTAAGTATGACAGTTTGACATAATGCAATTTCTAAATCAATACAAAACATGTTTGTATTGAATTGTTTTTTGATCTCCAATATCTGTTCAAATGGAGGCAAGCAGATTGTATTAACAAAAATATAAAACAATGATTAAAGGTCAACAAGCAGAGACACAATTTTGACATATTATCTCAAAGTTTCACAATCCATAATGTGACCTGAAGAAAAAAAAAATCAACTGAAAAGTTCAGTAAACTGGCTGCAACAATTGACAGAGTGCACTTCAGCCCAAATAAATCTTGACGGCAATTATACAGAAGGTCAGAAAGACTCAAATTAAATTACTTTCCATCTTTTCAATATCGCCAATCAGCCTGGGCCATGGAGCAATTTCCTGACCACTTTGAGCTCCCAGAAATTAATTGCCCCATTGATACATGCTTTCACTTGTAGATCCTCTCTTAAGGCACCTATCTTATCAACTAAACTACATGAGAGCGCATAATGAGTTTGGGGAGGAGAGGGGAGTTGAAGTGCTTTTGCTAAAGGCTCTAAAGTAGCCCTAAAACCGCCCAAAATGATCAAAAACGACCTGTACATCAGAAAGGCTGGGAGTATTAAAATACATTAGTGTGGCCCATTCGCTGCATGGAGCCTGAGGTGCATTCTATTCTTCCATTCGATCCAGGCCTTCCTTTGCAATAGACCATAATAAAGAGTTATGGATATGAGATGTCACTTGGATAAGGGTTGCCATTAAACCGCGTAGCAGCGTGTGTCAGGATTCCTATCTGGAAACGCAACAAAGGGATGGAATGAGATAAAGACGTAGGCGGCTGTATCTCTCAAAAATGCTTTCCCCTTTCTTCCTCTTTTTTCTTTTAAATGGTTCCCAGGAGCAATTAAGGTAGTGGGCAAATTTGTGGCCAACATAAAAGCTTGGGCAGTGTGATATAGTAAACAGGCACTTTAGCTCAACCTTATTGGCCCGCTGTAAAAGTGAGCTGTGTCTAAAAGCTTGCCGTCTTTTCTCTGTGGTCTTACACAAACTCAAGGTTGTAAATGAAAAACGTTAAGCACTCAAGAAGTATTGTATAATTAAGTCAGTATATTCTGGTGGCTCATGTTGGTCCAATTTACTTCTGTGAGGTCAGCTCATGTGTAAAGCTCTTTCTTTTTTTGACATTTTTATCTGAGCTGTTTGCAGTGAGTTGTGACATTAGGTGGTTTAGGTTAGAGCAGCAAATGAATAACCACAGTATGTTTCTTTGAACCAATCCTGGAATTTTCTATAAATACATTATATTATATACACATATTATTCTAATCCTTTCTGAAACTACACCATTTCATATCAAATTGGGGTCGCATTGTGGTCACTTATTGTATAATGTGTAAAAGAGAAATGGAAGGTATGGCTTTGAAGAAATTAATCATGTTAAATATTTCCCCCTCTTTGTCTGTTCTTCAAACATTCTACAATACTGTTGATACTTTTATGTCTTATCTACATTGAATGTAATGTTCCTCCTGTCAAAAAGTAAAATTATGTTTGATGTCCCCACCAAAAGTATTTTTGCATTGTTTTTCTTTGTTGCAAACTGTTTTAATAATTTACGCCAACAGATTATAATTTTTCATGAGATCGTCTTTTAGAGCAGGAAAGTAACTATAATATTTCTTAGTTTCTGTTCTTTTACTTGACCACTTACAAATACAAGTTTTTACTTTGCTTTCGTAACATTTAAGTATCTACAGTGTGTTGTTACTTAAGTAGGCCTACATCACTAGAGCCCGTTCAAAGACGTAAGGTATAAATGAACCATAATGTGGCTCCAACAGCTTTATAGAGTAATACAGTAGAGTTCATAGACAATTATGCCCAATCCAAATACCACATTATACCGCACCTTTAATGCCAGGTTCTTCACATATTTTTGAAACTTAGACCTCACCATGCAGGACTGGACCAAACTCGCCTCCCCTAACTGACCTGGCCAATATCACTTAATGGAAATGTTGCTTCAATGGATACGTAATACAACGGCCCTCTGTAATTTGACGTCTGACATAACAATCTTAAACACACTGGTCCAATTGTGAGGAAGTATTCCTGAGACCCATTTCCTATATCCATTTTACAATTGCTGGCAGTGGTCAGCAGTGGAATTCAATTAGAGTAAGCACTTTTGCCTCATTGCACAGTCGTGAGTGCACGGTAACACTTGCGATTCAGCTATCATGTTAAACATTCCCGTAGTATATAGGTATACGACCACAGCGCAGATTTCATTATATTACTAATCAGATCCAGCCCTGTTCTTAGCTGATTCCTCCTCCTCTTCTCCCCATCCTTGAAAACATTATCTATCCAAGATTAGGTGGAATTATGGGTATTTTAGCTGTGCCAGTGGGAAGGATTAGTGTTGTGCCACTGCTGTTATAGCACGGGCAGCAATTTTAATATCAAGAAGATAGGAAGAGAAGCCATGAACGGGGGAATAGCTTCATAGGCAATAATGCATAAGCCTATAGTGTCCTGTTTGTAGCCTGCACACTTGAGGGAGAGGCACTAAAACACAAATGAGAAATTTAGCATTTATAGCACAGTCGGATCTATGGAAGGATATTGCCTTGTTTGAATTTGAGAACTGGTTATTTATCTATTTCTTTGTTTGTACAACTGCACTCCCAGACGCTTCGATCATTAATACAAAACAAATGCAGTGGGAAGTCAGATCATATCAACACTTTAGACACCATACATGGACTGGTGGAGCCCTGAAATGTCTTAAGAGTGTGAAGACTGCAAATAACAAGTACAATTATATAATTATAAGATTATACTGCAGATTGTGTAGAGCAGGGGTTCCCAAAGTTTTTAGCCCGTGACCCCCCATGATAAATGTGCTGCTGTCTCCGCCTCGGCCTCAGCTCTGGCACATGTGACTTTTAGGGGTTTCTCAGGGTTTTCTGTTGTGGATATTAACCATGTTTGTGCTTGATGTTAGCTACGTAAATAGATTGTGATTGACGTAATCTCGTTATGTCTGGGACAAAATTACAAATGTAATTAAAATATCAGACTTTTCTCCAAATCCAATTTAACGACTAGTCCTATTGAATCAAATCAATTGCAACAAAAATATTTAAGAGCTATATATTTGTCCCCATTTTTAAAATGTTTTTATTTCTTATGAAAATCATCTCGGACAGTAATCATCTCTGACAGTAAACTGTCCTTTACTCCCACTGGAGTAAAGGACAGTTAGGGATATTCCATATACTGACTTCCTGGTGCACTGAAGCCCACTTCAGCTAACGCTATGTGAAGGCAATTGAATTGGAATCTATGGTGCTAAAGACGGATTACTTGTAGAGAGTGAGTGCAAAATGAACAAGTACACCTCAACGCATGCCTCTACAAATGAGAAAGCCGAAGAAAGTGTTTTTCTCCACTTTGGGTGAATGCAGAAGCCAAACCGTGTTAACTACTATTACTTAGAAGTTACTCACAGAAACAAGTTAATACAATTTGACTTTTGGTTTTACAGGATGATTTTATTTATATCGCTTCTCGTCTAAACATTTCAGTCATGTTCCATTTTGCTCTCCTGTTTACACATCTCCTCCACTGCTGCTGTTTGGATGAGTGGTATTGAAGATTTAACAATCCCATTTCGTCTGCGTTAGAGAGGAGCTTGTGTTTTTGATGTGATTATGTTTCTGTTTATTTTATAGATTTGTTGTGTCTGTCACGTCCCTGTCAAATAATCAACAAGGATCTAAGCACATTAAACATTAAAAAGTAAACAACAGTTTGCTAATGGGTCACTACTGGTAAATATATTGTATTACAAATTTTCAGTTGAAGTCAATGGAAACCTCTTATTAGAATCGGTTACAATCCTCACAAAATAGTCCTCTTTAGAGCACTACATTATATAAGATATACCATGTCCTCCTGAAATGGCCAAATCAGAAAAAAAACATACTGAGGAGAGACAGCAGTGAAAGCTTAACCTGAGGTGCACTGATTGGAAGTCCCAAACGCTCTGAGAGGGAAAAGCTGCTGTGCCAGTTGAACAATTAATCTAATTTCAAAAGATCCCCCGGTTAGGTGTAGGACTGCCTGCTGGGCTGAGTGCCGTCAAGTAGACAAGTGGAAAAAGGTAAAAAAAAATAAAAAACAAAGTCACATTTTCAAAGCTAATTGGTTATAGTGGGACAGCCTTTGAATTGTTTTGCCTATTAGCACATAGCTGGTATTCACTCAGATTAAGCACTATCAGGAAGTGATACAAAATATGCAGTAATGGCCAAATCAGATATGTGAGAATAATTGAGTACAGCACAAGCACATCTCTAGGTGCTATAGAAGTCTACTGTAAATTATGCAAATGATGAAGTTCTTACCTTAACCCTAACCCTATAACAAATCTAAATTATCCATATACAAATGTTTTTTCAACATCATTAAAAGTGACAAAGTGGATCTTCAAATGAAAATCAAATAGTAGTGCAACAATGACAGAACAATCCTCTTTCTCATTTGCTTATGAAATACACTCATTTTCGCTTTACCCTTTGAAAATGTCTAAGTCAGGCTGTGGTTTTCCTCATGTCTTATTAACTTGTCCCTGTCCGTCTGCTCTTCACACTGATATTACATTGACTTGCACTTAGCCTGCTTTCTAATAAAACAAGGTGCTCGCTGGTTCCCCTGGTGTCCAGCTACTATCACACAAGAACGCTGGAGTGGTTGAGTGGATAACCATTGATCTTTCCTTTTGGGAATTTCTCCTGTGCCTCGCTCGTTTCTGTGGCAGCCCCCGCATCACCACAGAAGCCCTGCGCTCTAACGACCCACCAGGACTTACATGCAGCTAATGAGCTGATGGAGGAGCGCATCGATCCAAGTGCCTGAGTCTAGGAACGGCCAATTACCTTAAGTAAACAGAAAAAAACTTGCCCGGAGTCAAGCCAGGAGGCCACTATATATTGGTTGTGCAGAGTTATGTAATTCAGATAGCATTGTGGCATCTCTGTAAAGTCTGGTACGGTGAAGACCAAACTGGGAGCAATAAAGCAGCTGATAAGATGCCAAAGCAAGGTAGATGAGCTAAACAATGTACACACTTGGCTTTGTGCTTGTTTGGCAGAACATGAGCGGAGAATAAAAGTGGATACCTGTGGCTTTCTCGCAACGCTTCTTTGCCCTTCCTCCACAAAATGACGCCCCGAGGAGACATCCGAGGCTTGCACTCGATCAAGATGTCGCCGCCGAGTCGGGCCAAAGTTTGGGCCTTCAGCAAGTTCTGCGAGAAGTCTGGAGCGATGGCTGTGAGAGGGAGATAACAAGAGAAATTGGTTCATGTCCTAAATGCTTTTTTTGTTATTGTGGTTGCTTAGAACAATAGATTTCAAGGCAATAGTAGCTTTCTCTTTCACATTATTATCCGTGACTCTTGGTACCATATTAGTGCCATATATTCAAAGAAGCATTACACATTATTTCGTCCATTAAAGAATATAAATATTTTATATGATCATAAATTCAAACTCATATTTTAAGTGAACAATATAAACAAGTATTATGTTTGATGCTATTGAGCATTTATTATACGTGCTATTGAGCAAGTATGAATAATGCTGAGCTGTCCTAATAGGTGTGATGTGTTTTGTTATGTTCAAACTTGACAATACAGAAACACATCTGTTTGTGTGTAACGTCATAGTGGTTCAATTACAACAGTTTATTACAGGACTGAGACAGGAGCATTTAGACAGAAGTGAAATTGTGACATGTTTATGCCAGAAATTCCTGATATTAGCATGGATGAATCCACAAACAACTCGAGGTCTGTTTTAACAGGGTTTAAAGTAGATTTTTGTATTTATTTACAATGCAATTCATTAGTCATATTTTGTCTTTGTCTATTGCCTTCGTCCATATGTAAATTTGTTTTACTTTTTTTCCTCTTCTGCAATGTTAAAGTCAAAAATCAAAACAATGATAACTGGTCAATCCTAAAATAACGATATAAATCACACAAAAAGCAAAGGGCATTCATTTCCTAAAAGGACCATGTTGTTCCTCTAATCCAAAGCCTTTTCTCAGACATTGTGCATTAAGGTCGAAGCAGCAGGCAGGCTCCAAAGCTGATCTGGATGTGTGTGAAAGGAGAGGCAGGTTTTGGAGCCGCTCCTTTAGACCTTAATGACTATGGCGTCTGTTTGGTTTGAGTCCCGCGTCAGCACAATGCTCTTCAAAGTGGATGCACAGACTGGCTCCTCAGACAGAGACGAGCCAACGCGCCACTGCACTACAATAATATGTGCACGCAATTATCAGTCCTCATCACCACGGCAACAAACAACAAAATCCTTAATTTCCTTTTATTTACGCTGTCAAGAAGTGTGAGCGTGTATTTGTATATGTGTATGTGTGTGTATGTGTGTGTATGTGCGTGTCTGTGTGTGTGTGTGCGTGTGTGTGTGCATGTGTATGTAACGGCTGCCAGCCAAGCCCTGGCGATCCAAGATGGCGCTGTATTCAAATGAATGGTTGTGCTCAGTGGCGCTTTGTGCCGGTGTTCTGTGGAGTTGGTCTGCCCGTCGAGATGATCTGCCTCAGCTTTATTATTTCCATTATCAACGCGACAGACCAGTCACAGGACGCGTCATGGGCCTACGTCAGTAAAATTACGTATGCAGAAGCCAACTCAGGGACTGCGATCACACAGCAGCAGTGTAGTTTCACAGGAGCAGTGGACTGCTTAAAACAAACTTTACACAAAACTCTTACTCTCAAAACCCACATATCACAACGCGGAACCATCAACATCTCGCCTCAAATTGTATTAAAAGTGACATTTGTGTCTTAATTCGTTCGTATTTTAACTTTTAAAGCAATTTGTGGAATTCATGTCCGCCATCTTGGATGGCTTCTGCTGCCAAGAGATGCGCAGCGCAGGTTTGCATTACATCATTAACAGCTGAGGGAGATCAGCTCGACGGGCAGACCAACTCCACAGAACACCGGCATGGGGGCTGAAAGATTAGCGGAAGTTGCCTGGAACTCGCAGGCGAGATCCATGGGAAACTCGCCTGTATTTGGGCTATCTCCCATGATGTGTTGCGCCAAATACCGTGTGTGGGTCTCACATGAGGTCTCACGCACGTGCACAGAGGGGCTCGGCCCGCGCTTTGAACAATCAGAGCAGTTCATCAGAGCGGGAGTTAGAGCGAGAGCCAGACGAGCAGAGTTTGTGGCACTAAAGTGTGGATTTAAAGAAAACCAATTTAAGAATAAAAAAAAAATTCAGATTGACAAGGGACACTAAAATCCCCACAAAATCCGACCTTTATGAAAGCTGTCGGTTCTCTGTCAGCTGAGGTCGAGCTGTTTTAATTTACATTGAGTTCTATGGGGAAAATTTCTGGGTAGCCCTCGTGAATTTAGTCTGGTTTAGTCTGCAGTACCGCGAGAATCCCCCGAGCACATGAGTTCTTCAGCTCCAAGCTAGTAATACCCTATCCAGTTAGTATAATAGATCCATGCTGCCAACTCGTCCACGAGCCGTATACGTACAGCAGGACACAGAGTGGAGTCAACTACTTTACTCAGACCTGTGACAGACCAAAAAATATTCACTTTTAGTCACAGCGGACAAACTGCCCCCCCCCCCCCCCCCTCTGAAGCGCAGCTTTGAGAGGGGGAGGGGAGCAAATAATAATATTGTAACAGGATTTTCAAATGTTGACAGTAATTTTACATGAACAATGTAAATAAAAATAAAATAAATATACATTGGAGGTAGTGGAGTAATCAATTGGAGTACAAATGCACAAATACAAACATTTTTCCGATAAAAATAAATTACCTGTGACACACCAAAAATATAAATGTTTAGTCACAGCGGACGCACTGGCTCCCCCTACGGGATGAAAACGGCACGTGAGCATGGCAATACACTTGAGGCACATGGTAAGCTAGCTAAATAAAAAGTACATAAAAACTAAAAATGTGCGATAGAAAATGCGCAAAAGTACGTTCATTGCATCCAAATACATTTCCTACTAAACATATCTTAGTGAATATTGCAGTAAATAAAGCGAAATGATTGAAAATATGTATTTTTCACAGAGACAGAACTCACCCTCTGAAGGATACCGCGGCTTTGAGAGGGAAAGTTGAGTACCAAAATAAAACACAGGGGAGCAGCGCGCACTTCCGGGAATTTCAAAATAAAACGTCAAAATAATAAAATTCTCACAAAATTACATTTTAAAATAAAATACAACCAGGAATTGTAAACAAAAATTATAAAGTGCATTTCTATATCCGTTACATGTGTGTGTATGTGTATGTGTGTGTGCATTAGTATATATGTTGTATGTATGTGCATGTGTGTTGTGTAAATGTGTGTTGTATGTGAGTGTATTTGTATATGAGTGTATTTGTATATTTGCGTGTAGGTGTACTGGGTGTATGTGTGTATCTAAGTATAGGTCTGTGTGTCTATGTGCATGGGTATGTGTTCCAATATTTAAAGCTGGGGTATCTAACTTATTGTTTCCAAATAATATATAGTTCAGTTTTATAAAAGCGAAAATGTGACGAAACCAGACCAGAACATCCCATTTTATTATATTACCCACAAGGTTCTTTCTAACAAGTATGTGTTTAGTTATTTGATGTTTTGGGCAGCAAGATGATTGGTTGAGTGAGGTTGGTCCTTTTTTTTTTTTTATGTTCTGTCTGAAATATCGATGTGACAGGGTGCAAAGATATAGTATATGATTGTGATAGAGCCAAACTGATTTGAGAGCGATGAGTTTTTATAACTATAAAAAGAACTTTCTTTAAATGTAATAAATGAAATATCAGTTGAACAATTATTAGCATGACATCCATATCACACCCAGGAGCAGACTCAAAATAACAGCCATAATAGAGAAAGTGAAGGACATGCAATTACTGCCAGACCGTCGCTTGTCAGTCTTTTCAAACTTTGTCTTAACTTAATTAAGTCAGACTTTTTATAGCCCGACAGCTAAAAAAACAAAGGTATGAGATATATTGCAGAAAGTAATTACATAACCTTTATTAAACAATCATCTGTCACCACTCTGAATTATTCAGTTTCAATTCTACAAGGAAAATGAACAATGCATATTATGTGTGCTCACATTTTTATGATAGTCACTGAATCATTGTCACCAAAATCCGTCGTTGGATTGTGCCTTGGGTCATCTCAGCTGGATCAGAGGAGAGTGAAAATTGTTGTAAATTCACCTGCTGATTCCATTAAGGCATGGGTTCCCAAACTAAGGCCCGCGGGCCGGATACGGCCCGCCACGCCTCTTTGACCGGCCCTCCACCTCTGAGCAGCTAGTTGCAAAAAATAAATAAATAAATAAATAAATAAAAAAAAAAAAAAAAAAAAATGTATTTTATATATTTTATTTGGTTTTAGATAACACTAAAATATTTGTATTAACCATTTATATTTATATAATTGCATGTGTCTGTATTATTTTTATGATTTATCGTTATGACCGAATTTCTGCCACCTCACTGATCGAGGAAGTCATGCGCAGAGAATGGGTGCGTACCGATGTTCCCCCCGGGTCCGATGTTCCCCCACTTCTATAGGCGGGGGAACATCGGTACTTCGCGTATTAAAAAGTCCCGATGTTCCCCGGGTCCGATGTTCCCCCCGCCAACAGAAGTGGGGGAACATCGGGACTTCAACAACGAGACTAGTCCCGCTGTTCCCCGCGTGCGCCCTTTGATGTTTGATGTTTCCTCCTCCACGAAAGATGGCATATGATCCGTGCCAACTTTTGTGAGAGAAAAAAATACTAACTAGCCTAAGCCTATTTACTTTTCTTTTTCCCTCTCGCTCTTTGTGTGCTCATATTTCAGCTGATCGCAGCTTGAGTCTATGCAGGATATTTTTGGCCATGTTATGGGCATGTTATCTCCCCTTGCTCACTCTCCCATGGGCATCTATATTTGACAAGTCTGACTGAATAAAATGAGGACGATTGAAACTAGAGCTACTACATCTGTTAGCCTATAGTTTTTTCCAAATACGTGGTTTTGCTGAGGGCACTGTGCTTTTACGCATAATGGACACGCATATGACGTCGTTTTTTGTTGTAAAACTTGAATATGCTCTTTTTAGTTTTAGAGATATTAATACATATTATTCTATTCAGAATGCGTGCGTCATTGTGCATTGTTGTCCCGCCTTACGTGTCACTCACAGTTAAAATGTAAATAACCAATTCAAACATAGCATTTTTACAACTTGAGCTTTAAGAAAAAAATGATCAAAGGAATCAGTGTAAAATAAGATCGGGAAAAGCTCAATTCATGATTGTTTAATTAGGTTTTTCCCATTTCTAAAATACAATTGGAAACGCTCAGAATTCAAAAATATTGAAAAGTGTATTGGCTCCTACAGTGGGGGGAATAATAATAAATAATATAACCCCCTGAGCGTCATCACGTTCCTACGTTGCTTCAAATATAGTCCTGTTTATTGGCTGAACAATTTTGTCCAATATCATATTACACAGCGTGAAGCGAGAACAACCAGCTATTCCTCGTCTTAAAGATTGACAACGCTCTCAAAGCATTCACAACAGAGCAGCCTTTTTCATTTTAATTTTAAGAAAGTTCAGCGTGAACTTTGTGAGGTAGAGGAGCCAGAGGCCCGGGCCCGTAGGTCCCAGAGGAGGAGAGCGCGGTCAGGCCAGGCTCGCCTCGCACTGATGAGGTAAACTCTAGGCCTGTGTGAGACACACTGTGGGCCTCACTGTAGGCCTCACTGTGGGCCTCATGTGGGCCTCATGTATGAAACCTGCGTACGGGCCAAATCAGGGTAAATGAGGCGTAACGCAAAATATTACACTTTTCCGCATTTATCAATCTGGACGTGAGCGTACAATACGCAAAAAATAAACGCCAGGTCTGGAGGTGGTGTAAATCTATACGCTGAACTCAACCTTCGGCACAACACGCCAAAACATACGCATGAAATTCAAGATATGTACAACAATAAACATATTCCCTCTGGCAAAATTATATGCTGTGTTTTCATTGAGATATCATGTTTCAAAATTTGAATTTGCGCATCAGAAAAAGTCTAATGGAAACACGCAAACTTCGAATAAATCACAAGCTCATGATGAGGACCCTCTATTAAATCTGACTTGTGTGTGTATTATTTTGATCTGTATGTTTTTAAAAATGTGAAGCGCTTTGTGATCCTGGACAGTCAAAGGCTCTATATAAATACACATACGCAACAGGGATGTGTGACCCATCTATTGCTGTGGCAGGGCTCTGCGCTGCGTAATTACGCACGGCTATTTGTATTCCTCATTCACATCTGGTAAAGCAATGTGTTATTTCATTAGATTTGTGTAAGCCTCACACAGACACACACCCCAATAACGCATCGATGGTATTGCTCACTCAAACGTCTCACTGCCCTGTCCAGAGTGCGCAGCGAGTGCCGTGAGAGGTCGCGCCACATGTGCAGAAGTTTTGGCTCCAGAGTTTCTTTGTGAAATCTGGACCGCAAACGCTCTCTGAAGTGTACAGCGCCTCAATGCGCACTTCTACCCCGAGCCAGGCTGCGTCCAAGACGCTGCAGACGCTTCATTCAGAGCCACCGCTGCATAATATATATGAATTAATTAATTAATTCAATCAATCTATATTTATTCACTTCTACAATTCAAGAAGGATTTTTCTAATGTATCAAAAACATTTTGGCAAATTGCGTAAATGGAATATACACCCAAAATGTACATCTTTTTCAACGCAAGTTTCATAAATGAGCTTGTGTGTATGTGCGCGCGTGAGTGCGTGTGCGTGCGTGTGTGCGTTTGAACCATATTCTTTGAAACCCCAATTCCAGTTAGCCCTTGTAGTTTTCAAGCGAATTTGGCCTACTTACTAATCTGCAGGCCTACCCAAAATTGCAAACCTGGCGCCAATACTGTTGCGAGGATGAACGGAGGGAGATATGTTTCCAAAAAGAAAAGGTGGTGGAGCTAATTTTACTTTTCTTATCTGCAACACGTTCTTATTCTGAGGTGGTAGGTTGTAAAAAATGTATTGGCTACCAATGCGAGATCTACAAGGCTTATAATATAAAGTATTCAGTAGCCCTATGAGCGAAAGCCGCTTGTTGCTCCATTATCCGCGCGCAGCAATAACATGTCTATGAGCGAGGCCCGCAGTCGGGGAACACCGGGCCCTCCGGCGTTTGGAAGGTCCGATGTTCCCCGGGTCCGGTGTTCCCCGCCCCGGGGAACTCCGGACCCGGGGAACTCCGGACCCGGGGAACGGACCCGGACCCGGGGAACTCCGGACCCGGGGAACACCGGACCCGGGGAACATCGGGCCCGGGGAACATCGGGCCGACCCCCAGAGAATAGCAGCAGTTGAACAGCAGTGCAATGGCGTGCAGTAAAGTGAGGAAAATTGATCGAGAGTGCCGGGTTTTTAATGAACAATGGACCAGGGATTATTTTTTTGTTCCATGGAAGGACCGTGCCATTTGTATTATATGTAAAGAAAACGTGTCCGTGTTTAAAGAATACAACCTTCGCCGCCATCACGAAACCCGTCACAAGGAGTATGCTAGCTTGAAAGGGGCAGCGAGAGATGACAAAGTTCGGCGACTGAAAGGTGGGCTAGCAGCTCAGCAGGATGCCCTGCTCCGTCAATCACGGGCCAACCTGGCTGCTGTCCGAGCAAGCTACAAAGCAGCTAACCTACTGGCTATTCACGGCAAGCCGTTCACGGACGGTGAATTCGGGAAGGCTATGATGCTGGCTGTGTCTGAGGAAGTGTGTCCAATCTCATCCCTTTATGCCAGGTTTCCAGGCAGCAGGAGAGGGGACTGCAACTGCTGACCTCAAAGATCACTGCCCATCACTTACCTGCCCATCCATCCTTCATCCCACCTTGGTTACAGCAAGTACAAATTCACTGCACATATTGCTGACTTCTGTTACTCTGTTATTCTGTTACTCTCTTCCGAGTGCAAATTGCTCTGTCTCTCATCTCCTCTCAATCTCTTCTCTCAGCATCTCTCTCTCTCTCTCTCTCTCTCTCTCTCTCTCTCTCTCTCAGCATCTCTCTCTCTCTCTCTCTCTCTCTCAGCATCTCTCTCTCTCTCTCTCTCAGCATCTCTCTCTCTCTCTCAGCATCTCTCTCTCTCAGCATCTCTCTCCTCTCTCTCAGCATCTCTCTCAGCATCTCTCTCTCTCTCTCAGCATCTCTCTCTCTCTCTCAGCACTCTCCTCTCTCTCTCACATCTCTCTCTCTCTCTCTCTCTCTCTCTCTCTGCACTGCCCCTCATCTCAATCTCCTATTTCAAAGGGTTATAAATCACTGTTTTAGGTTTGTTGATATAATGGTCATGGCTAACTTTGTTTTATATATTATTATTGGTCAATTTGATTTTCATGATCTACATGTGAGCTATTATAGAGCAATGAAGTTCTGTTTGTTGTTGCTCTTTCTGTAATTTAAATGTTTTTAATGCATTCAGTTTGTGACATGTATGATGCACTTAATTATAACTAATAGCTAAGCCTTACTCTGAATTTTATTGTTTATTTTTTTCAATGCATTCAGTTTATTTGACCTGTATGGTGCACTTAATTATAACTCATCAATAGGCCTTCCTACAGTTTGTAATTTTCACTAACCTAGTGTGAATGACCAGAAGTTTCTTGTCTTGATAGTTTCTCATCTCACTGGAAGTTAAACAGGCCTTCCCTTTCTCTTGTATCACTCATAAACTCAATCACCATATTTTTCTAACCTTTCCCTGCTATTTTTACATGGTTGTTATTAGAAAATAAAAGGAATACCTGTGGTATTTCAAATTGGAAAAACGTGAAGAAACTCACTTCTTTTGTAAATCACTTGTAATGATGAACTATTTTGTGCTTGAAATTATGGCTATAACTGGCCGTGGCCCGAGTATACAGCCCATAATGATTGATCCCGGCCCCAAGGTCCCGGCCCTTAAGCACGGGTATGGAGCAGCGTGCTCCTGGACCCTGCTGCTAGCGGTCCCTCTCCTCCCCCAGAATGAGCGCTCAGGCCTTTACAAAATCCGGTCTACAGTGGCTGACCTGAACTTGCTGCATACTGACGATAGGAGTTTGTGCAGCATGGGAGCAAAGTGTGCCCCCCACAACCCTGATTAGCATTGTATAGCTCACAGCCTCCTGCATTTACATGTTAAAGCCTCCCTGTGGAGGAGGGAGGAGGACAACAAACTACCGTCCAACAGCCGACATCCCAGAAGTTTCACTGTAATATACAGGCCGAAAAGCTAATCAGGGTTGAGGGGGTGCACAACTTTGCTCAATGCAGCACAACTCGTTTCAGTCAAGTCTGCAGCATGATCAGGACAGCACACTGTAAGATCCCGGTATTTTTTGTAAAGGCCTGAGCGCTCATTCTGGGGGCATGAGAGGCCGACAGCACGCAGGGTCATGAGGCCACGCAGCTCCATAACCCCCGGATTCTTTAGACTGCCTTACCACCTTTGAGAAAGCCCGATCTCGTCTGATCTCCGGAATCTAGCAATGTCGGGCCGCGGGGCCAGCCTGCGTATAGTGGGCATATTGTGATTGGCACTGAACTGAAACTCTATTTTCTATACAGAATGTTAGTCAAATATACTGTTGTTTGCCCTGAAATATGATCAATAAAAAGAAAGACTTCAATAATGTTATGACATTTATAATATATATATTGTGAACGAGTATGAAAAAAGAGAATTTACAAAATTAAGAATTACACATAGAAGAAAAACAACAACATGCTACTTTTAACTTCTAAACAAGTATTTGTGTGTTAGGCCCTGTGACGTGAACGGCTGAGAGCTGACTAAACAGAACTGAAGATGCAGACTTTACAATGAAATATATAATTAGATTTAATCAATATTAAGTATATATATACATAATAATAAAATATTTATAACATTTATGAACATACAGTAAAATATCAGTAACTCATAATAAAATAGCAACCAATAGACAGCAGATAGCTCATTTATTTACACGGCCAACCATTTTCCTCTCCCTGTCATAAATGGAGACTGCTGACATCTGCGTCTCCATCCCCTGGTGCCCTTGTACAGGGAGAATACTTTGGCAGGGCAGTAGAAGTACTTTCCCTGAACATGACCAGGGAATTTGTGTATTAATGTGAGGACTGGTCCCCAATGCTTCAGCTGCAGTTTGCAGAACCGCACTTTTCTCCCTGTGAGGAGGAAGACTCATCACTCGTTCCTTTCTCTCCTGCGCTCATCTCACTCTCTGCTGCGTGCCTCCAGCTCTCTCTGGGGCAGAACTCAGTTCCATAAAGTCTCGGAATGGCATCCTGGAGATGGTCAAACCCTCTGTGTCGATAGGTGTTATAGACCTTGGAGGAGCAGTAGAAATACCTGGTAGACCCGCGGGTACAAACTCGTGGATGGAGCAGCTACGCCCTCAATATTTGATTTTGGCTGAGGCCACAAGACAAGCATTTCTTTGTGTGGGGTTTATATTTCTTGAGGCTGCTGCTCTTTTCCAAAGATCCGCCTGCACAACCTTCTCTATGGCCATCCCAGACAGCGGTGACATGAGTCTGAGCAGGAGGAGGGGGTTCACCTGCTGCGGGGGCATGGTGACAACAGTCACTGTGCAGTCTTACTGCCTGCTGTGAGCGATGTATTTCCCCAGCCACTTCAGCCTTGTCAGAGGCAATCACCTCCCTCTCACTCGCACCAATTGAGGGCGTTTCTCCCCTCATCACCTCCACCCTCTGAGAGGGGCACCGCACTCACCTCATGGACGGGGTCGTTCCCTGATCTTCCTCGCCGCCTCCCTCCGAAGGGTCCTGCAGCAGGAATCCACCGAGGTCCCATGTGACAAATCACAGAGTTGACTCGGCCAGGAAAGATGAAAATGTCTTCATATATTCCTGAACAGCCACCACAGTCATGTTGCGATTTTATTTGACCATTTTACTGAACACTTTCATCGTGTGCACAGATTTTTGATAGTTTTTAGTATTACAGTGATTTTAATGTACATTTGATAATGAAGATTAACAGACAATGCAAAGGAGCTGGCTTCATGTACTGAGACTTTGGTTTCATTCGCACATAGAGTGGACCCACCGCACAAGCAGGCACACTTCTTGACCTGCTATTACAAAGGGGGATTTAAGTAAACAAATGTTAATGTATTTGTATGTTGGCTTTGTCAGAAACATATTCTGTGGTATTTTTTGACATGTGTTTAGCTAGCAAACCACCAGCTGAATTTACAATGCTAGAAGATGACACATACCATGAAAACACAGGTGAACAGTTCCATGGAAATGCCGTATTTTGAGAAAAACTCCAGCTCGCTACTGTTTGTTGAATTGATAACTCTGTCACCACCAGTGTTCCTGAATGTTCTGGACGCACATGCTCCTGTGACGGTTAAAATAGTTTAACCAGTAATAAAAAGGCCCCATGGACTAAGCAGACTCGGTCAGGGCACAGAAGCAAGAGTGCCGAGGGCCGAACGGAAGATTGGCGAAAGTCCAATTTGCCAGGCCGATTATGAAATCTTTAAAGATGAGATTGGGTGAATTTAACCGGTATCTACGAAGAACAATAGAAATGGTATTTTTCTGACATTATTGGAGGTTTGCCAGTAACAATTTTCGAGTTATTTTTTCAACAGTTGGGTAGATAAACGAACCCCCCTGTAAAGTTGCCCCTGAAATTTCCTCTATATCTAGGTGTAATGAGTTCGCACAGTTTTTTCGATTACAAAGATCCAAGTACAAAAACACAACACCTCCACACACGTATAAACAATGCAACAGCAAGAGAAGCTTTTTGAGCAACTCACTATGCCCTGTGGATACTGACACTGTCAAAAAGATAATCATGAGTCAGAGCTCCTCCCCATGAAATCCCTGGATATATTTGCCCTCTAAATTTTCTGAAGTCCGTCCTGAGCATTTGTTACCTCACTGACACAAATAGTAAACATGTCACTGTCGTCAGACATTTCCAAAAGCCCCCCAAAACATCAGTCATAAGACCTCCCTAAAAAAGAGCAGTCTGGATCCTGCGGGACTTCAAAATTATCGCCCAAATCGAATATGGAATCTGCCATTCATTGTAAAAATTCTTGAAAAAGTGGCCCTCCCAACAACTTACTGAATTTTTACACCAATGAATAATTCATTTGATATGTTTCCAGTACTGGGTTAGACCCCACACAGCACTGAGACCCGCTCTAGTGGAAGGTAACAAACGACATTCGCTTCACACTGATGCATGGGTAAAGTCACAAGTTTTGGTCATTGTTAGAACTTAGAGCCGCGTTCGACACTGTGCGACCATGAGATCCTCATGCAGAGACTGAGGACTGGGTGGTGTCACTGGCACAGCCTAGACTGGGTATTAGGTCTTACCTGGAGGATCGGAAAGTACTTTGTGAGGATTGGAGACTGTGCGTCCTCGAGACATGTGGCCCTGACCTGAGGAGTACCACAGGGGTCGAATCCTGGACCTCTCCTAATTAAACTCTACATGCCTGCCGTTAGGTCAGTTATACAAAAAACAAAGGTGTCCTACCACAGATTACGCCCGACGACACTCAGATCTATGTCTCAATGACTGCAGGAGTACATGGACCACAGGATTAGCTCCTTCAACTGTATCCAACGATCAGTGGAGTGGATGCAAAAATAATTTCCTCCACTAAAATGCCAGACAAAACCGTATCATTTGGTCTTTGGTCCCCAGAAAACAAAGAGAGGGCGTCATCTGTCAAACTTCATTCTCTCCTGCCCTACCTTCCTTCAGACAAGGTCAGATTTTGGGGGGCTAATACGACACAGACCTAATATTTCAATAGCCACATTAAAATCAATAACAACAA